TATATTTACATTAGAACTGTTACTCTAGACACCTTTCTAAGGACATTTCTGCCATCTATCACCATCACGAGTAATCTCCAGCCTAGTCCTGCCTGGTCCTATGCTGACCTGTATGGCTTCTTACCACAATCCTTCTGCCATGGCTTTTCAAACTGGGAATACCTCTGATACAGCTTCCCAAACAACATTTACCCAAATAGAGGTACATTCTACATTAACCTCCCATCATACTGGCACAAGTTCCCAAGGGACACTTCAAAGGCTTCTCAGAGATTCCATGAGTGATGTCTGAATATTTTAATCCGGGTCACACCAACCATATTACAATCAGGGCATTTATGAGGCCTTATATCTTTGTGGGTATTAATGGGACTCCTAAGCTGTGACACCAGGCTGTAAGCTCTTCCAGCTACATGGCTTTTATAGAGTCTTGCAGAAGCATAGCTCTGCATGTGTCAACTGGGCATTGAGAGTCTGGGACAAATATACTTACAAATCTAATATTGGGATGTTTTCTCTACACCAGCACGTTTACTTGTATTCAGTTTTGGAACAGTTACACTTTTCATTGACTTTGTCTAAACCAGGTATGGGCTGGTATAATAGAGCATTGATTTCCCTTTTGCCCATTATCACCAGCAACACTGAGAGGTGAAGCTGCTCCTCACTTTTAGATATTTTATTACGCACATTCTTAAAGGGCATACTACTCCTGAAACTACACTTACCACTAACTCATAGACCTCTGGGCCAACCTGGTCAACCTTTCAACTATAAGACAGAGTCTTACTCTTGCAGAGTTTCCAAAGTGTGGGATATCCTTTCCTATGCTACCATCTTGTACTAATGCAGGGCCTACCCCCACTATACACTGTACCCTACCACCCAGAGTTTATATATCCACTTTTACTGGGCAACTGCCTACCTCAACTGTCAGTCACTTCTGTCATACCAGACTGGCATTCAGGACTAGAAACACTTTTGTTTTTTCCCATGGTAACTAGATTTTTTAGGTCCAGCAATGGATTCCGGTTTCCACCATGAACAATAATGACAACAACTTGTTTTTTTTATTTAGCTTCCAGCAGGGCAATGTCTGCAGAGGGAATATATAATGAGTGGTTATCTCTCACAGCAATCTCATGAAACACCAACTCCACATAACCACATAATAATATAATCCATAGCCAGGTCTCTATCTAGACATTTACTAGATTAGAACCCTTCTGGTGCAACTTTCCAGTCTTCGTATTCAACATTTACCATCTCTCCCTGCACTTTAGGTGCTTTTTTGGGTTTACCACAAGAGCCTACTTTTAGGTTGCTGACCCAGTCTCTTTACTAACGCTTGCGCAATCTGCCACTTTCACCAATACTTCTTTGTTTTGCATTAATGATTCTCTAACCCTTTCTGGGTTATGTAGAGGGCTTCTGCTACTTTTTGACATTTCTCAACCTTCCATTTTGCAGGGTTATATGCTAACATGGTGAGTATACTATTAGCTGGTCAGCAGCATCAAGGGGCCTCCAACATTTTGATTACCTTAATATGGTCTAACAGTCTCTTCACAAGGGTGATGGGGATAGGAGCTAGTCACTTCAGTTAAGTTGACAGCACAGAGCACAGTGAGTTCCCTCTACCTCTGCACCCTCTGCTAGCTCTGTAAGCTGCTCTCTCTACATAAACAAAAATATATGTCGTGTTCCTGAAACCTGCAGCAGCTGATAGCAGAATAGCTCCAGTAAAGGGAAGTGGACAAAAATACAGCAAGAGCAAATGTCTGAGGTGATAGTGGGGAAAATTACTTATTTTCATTGAAAAGATAGGCAGGAGAGGACTAGAAAGGGAAATGTTGGCAGTACGGAAAAAAAAAAAAACATTCTCCTTTTGCATGTACCATGTCTAGAGTTTGGAACCTCTCTCTCTCTCTCCTTCTACCCTTTCTCTATCCCCCCTCCTTATTCTCTTGCTCTATCTCTCCCTCACTTTCCTCTTTTGCTATTCTACCATTGACACAAATGATTCCGGGGACTAATCTTCATTTGAGGGCCACTATCCCACTTTGTCATTGTGTCTATTTAAATTACAGTGACATATATGTATGACCCATTTGCATTCCCACATTTTTATTGTACAAGAATATTTTTTTCCCTTTCCTGTTGGGGCATGGAATTTTGACCTTACATAGTTACATAGTATTTGAGGTTGAAAAAAGACACAGGTCCGTCAAGTTCAACCTTTGTAGGCAACATCTTTTGCATAAAGTCAGCTGGTCTAATTGTACCAGTGTTGCTATGGGCAACAACATCCACATTTTGGGTTCGGACAGTCACCTGCTCTCTCACAGCACTGAGAGCTGGCCTACCTTTCTCTATAGATAGGTCACTGCTGCCAAGAGGCATTTGCACCGTTTCATGGCTGCAGATTTGGTGGATTCCCTTGTCTGGGCACATGTATGCTCAGTCAGTGCTATCCAGCCACAGAATTCTCTCTCTCATTTTCCCATGTCCACTTTTGAGAGCCCCATATTGCAGACCTTCAGCCCACATAGTCCACATGACATAGACAGACCTTTTCCGCAGGGATTGGCAGTCTTCAAGGAGAAAGCGCTCTATTTCTGCCATTCACATCCTACACCAATTGTGAGCCTCGGCTCCAAATGGAGAGGGTTCCAGGAACTTGGTACACTCAGAAACCTATGTATTAGTGCTCTTGCCCACTTGTATTCATCCACAAAGGTACCTTAACACAAGATTTGCCTTCACAGGGGTTCTCAGTATCAGACAGATGCAAAGTACATTTTCAGCCTCCTGGCTCTTTGGTCTGCTTAGACCCTTATCCTGCTTCAGCATATAGACCAAACATTTCCTCAGACATCAGCCTGGTCAGAGTGCCTGTCTGAAAAGTCAGTCAGGCCTGGACACACAATCCTTGCAGCATTTTGTCTCCGGGGATACTCTCTTTTGTGGGCAACACCCACCTGTCTCCAATGAGTCTCCTACCTGATAAGGGATGCTTTTTTTACTGCTGAATCAAGCACTGTCTGCATCTTTATTTAATGACAGACATATATATATATATATATATATATATTTGACCCAAAGCCATTGCCCTTCATGCCCCACAGGAAATCTTTAGCACAGATTTAATGTGATTTAAAATATACCTTTAGCATATAATTGTTGGTTAGAAGAACAGATCACGTCAGCATATGTACTACTTCTTAGACACACTCCCTTCTTCTAGTTTCACAGGAGGCTATGAGGACTTTGACAGCCTGTCCACTCCTGCTTCTGATCATAGGATTAATTTGAGTGCCATCAGGGAATGGAACAGGAAGAGCTCCCCCGTGTTTAGCTTGCATACAAACAAATGGTAGCTGCCTCACAGCCATAAAGCACTATGGCAAGGAACTAAATCATTGTCCTCATCAAAGATGTCATAAATAAATATTAATATGGTATTATCATAAACTATTCAATCAAAACAGCAAAAACATATTTATAGCTCCCATCCTGTGTTACCAAACATCAGTGTCAAAAATAAAATATATAAATGAATATACCCATTTACTATGCATTGTACTTAAAATATATAAATATATATAATTGTGCAATAAGTGCCCATGCAAAAAGTTTGAATAACTAATCAAGATCCAGACATCTGCAGTATGACCAATAAACTCTACATGCATCTGTACTCTATAGTGAGCCTAGAGGATGGAGAAACTGCATTATTCCCAGCATCAGTGTTATATTGTTTACATATGTCTTACACTGTTTGAAGGATAAGGTTGCCTGAGTCAAGGTCCACTTTCAGTGTGTGGGTAGATATTGTTGGTTATTGCTTGATTTGTAGAACTGGGGTTATCTAGGGTAATCCCATATTGCTCTTCTAGTTATCTCTTTCCTAGTAAGTGCCAAGGAATGGGCCGTGTAATTTTTTATTTGTGTAAATGCAGCCAACATGTGCTATATCATTTGTCAATATAACTCAGTTTTCCAGGACAGTCCTGGCATTCAGATATCATATAGGCAGCAGTTTAGATGTAACAGGATGGCTAAGGGTTTGGCTAGTTTTGACTGTAGCTGGAACCAAAATTGTATCAGATTGTTACCCAAAAATGTTAGTGGTTGCATTTTTTTTATTCATCAAAAATGGCAAATCAATGTAATTTGTGCATGAATACAACGGCATATGTGTTCATTTGACTTTTATGATGAATAGCTCAAATGTTAAAATAGTATTTCATTGTAATTCAACATTGTTGCAAAATGGCTAAATAATTGAATTGTTTCAGCAACCTTGTGAGTCTGGTAATGTATTTTTCTTTTTTAAAGGAAGATTTTACAGAGGTTCTGAAATCACATTCAGCTACTAGCTCAATGGCATGTCTGTCAACATGTACTGTTGAAATAAATGTTAAACTCTCAAATGTAAGAATAGCAGTTTGTGTTCATAGGGTTTTTACCAAAATGTATAAGTATTCTGGACTTTTTACAGTATATCCTAAAGCCTTTTAGTGATTCAGAACTGCTTTAGATATCATAAACGTTATCTGTTGTGAAGATGCAGGTGTGTAGGACATTCAATGTACATTATGATAACCTGCTAAATGGTTTTGTGCAGAGGTATTGGCTGGCCGCTGTCCTCATTCCTGAGGCTGTGGCCTGACTCGTGTGAGGTTGGGCCCTTCTACAGTCTAGAAAAAAGTTGAATCTGGTGTGATGCAGAGCATAGTTTTTGACTTGTGGCAAGAAGATTGCCCTTAAAGCTGAACTCCAATTATGGCAATTTATATATACTTATATGTGTCCAGCTTGGCTCAATGTAAGCATATAGAAATGTTCCCTGGCAAGGCCATGGGAACCCTGTAAAACACTGTTATAACTGGTGCTACTACAGCGTCATACAGCGATCTTCCAGATCCAGGAGCGGGTGTGTGCTGAGCTACTTCCCCTCTGCTGTTAAAACACAGGAGGTTGCTCAATCGGCACAGTGGCCATTCTGCAATTGCCTATTATTTATTATCAATGAATACTAGCCATGCTCTGATTGGACAAGGGGCAGCAATATCACTGCACCTAGACCCAGAAGATCGCTGTAAGACACTGCAGTAGCTGTGGCTAATCTTTGAACAAAAACCTGTTTTCATTACACACCTTAGTTTAGACCCAGTTATGGGATTTATGGTTTATGTCTTGCACAGTTGTAACGACTCCTGTACTAAAATTGCCTAGTATGATTTCACTGGACAATGCAAGCTTCTGTGCAGTAGAAGTTGAAGCAAGCCAGATAGATAACACATAATTTCATGGCTCGAGGACCTCGTACATTATCTAGTGCTTTCCTCCCCGGCTTGATTGTCCCTGACCCCTCCTCTTCATTCATTGGTTTTTAGTTCTTTCATTCATGGAGGATCCTCATAACATGTGGGAATTACCTAGGGTGGTGTGCATGCAAATTCAGTCTACCTAGAATTGCCTACTCCCCCAGTCCGACATCCACCCATCATGGCATCTTGATTTTTTAATAACTGCTGCCAAGAGCCAGCCTTTTGCTTACATCAGGGCTGAGGGAGGGGAGTACTGAGGCAGAGTGCTGTGATGTTTTCAGGATGCTATGTTTTGCACCCTGCTGGCCTTTCCCACCAGCCGTGATCTGCCTGCAATGCATAGAGAAGCACAGAAACCCAGAAATGGCATCACTGGATCTAAACTAAGGTATGCAATGAAAACAGAAAAGTTTTTTTTATGCAAAAATTTAATTTATTCAATTTTCACATTGATAAAGAAAGGTGGAGGAGTCACCAGGGAAAACAAAATATAAACACATTAAAACTCAGCTTTAAAAGAGAACTATGAGGTGAGTGCTTTTCACTCACCTCATAGTTCTAGCCGACCTGTGACAATGAAACTTTCACATGTCGGCTCAGTAGATCGGGAGGTGAGCGAACACATACCGGCGTTCGCTCACCTCTCGATCCTGTCACGGCTGGATTCCCCCCTCCCCGCTCCGATCCACCAGCGCTGACTGGCGGAATGGACGGGGGAGGGGGCGGGTACAGCTGGCTCTGCCTCTAGATAGGCACAGCCAGCTGTCAGTCACGCAGCTGGGTGGATCCAGACATAATTGTCGGGATCCGCTTCAGGTGCGGCGTCTTAGTATACCGCGAGCAGCAGCTTGCGGTATACTGCGACGTCTCAGTATACCGCGAGCTACAGCTCGCGGTATACTGAGCCTAGGGTGACGGGAGGGCGCTAGTTTGTGTCCTCCCGTTACCCTAAGGAGAACTATGGGGAAAAGCCTTAACCCCGTAGTTCTCCTTTAAGATTGGCATTATGAAAAACTGATTCAAGGGAGCTGACCATGGTGCTGAACAAACTTTTAAACAGCTTTTTACTAATTAAGTGGAAAATGTTTCTGTTTGCCAGCTGTGCAACAGCAATATCATAATTCATCATCCTGATTAGCATACGCCAAGTCTGTTTTAAAGGTACACTCCAGCCAAAATTAAAGTAGAACAATTGCCAAAATAATAAAACAAATCATATATGATGCAGCCTGTCAATTGCATTGAAACAGAAGGTTTGGTTTTCCTGCATGCCCTCCGAACTTTATTACATGTTAAATCTGCTAGTAGATCCCTTGAATTTCCACTTCTTTTAACATACCAAGTATTACAGAAGAAGTAGCAGTTACAGGTGGGAAAAACAATATCAACTTTTATTCATATGGCCTAAACCTTTTATACTCTGTGTTTCCAGGATTATTTAAAGCTGAACTCCAAGCACAAAAACATTGACTTAAATATATTACTCAATAGCCATAAGGGATATAAATCCACTTTGTAGTCCGATTCAATAGAAGAGCTACTGTAGCACAAATTGCTGAAAAAGTGAATTCTGCTTCTGATAGAAAGATGTCTAAAGACACAGTGCATCACAGTTTGTTACGTATAGGGCTGAGTAGCTGCAGGGTGCCCTTGCTCAATCGTGTGTCTACCACCAAAAGTGCCTATAATTGGCACTTGAGCATCAGAACAGGACCACAAAGCCATGGAAGAAGGTGGAAGAAGGTGGTTTGATCTGATGAATCACATTTTCTTTTACATCATGTAGATGGCCGGGTGTGTGTGTGTGTCACTTACTTGGCGAAGAGATGACACCAGGATGCACTATGGGAAGAAGGCAAGCCAGGGGAGGCAGTTTGATGTTGGGCAATGTTGTGCTGGGAAACCTTGGGTCCTGTCATTCATGTGGATGTTACTTTGACATATACCACCTACCTAAACATTGTTGCTGATCAAGTACACCCCATCATGGAAACAATATGCCCTTATGACAGTGGCCTCATTTAGCAGGATAATGCACCCTGACACACTGAATGGTTCCAGAATGGTTTAAAGAACACAACAATGAGTTTGAAGTGTTAACTTGGCCAGACCGAAATCTAATCGAGCATTTGTGGAATGTGCTGGAAAAACAAGTCCGATCCATGGAGGCCCCTCCTTGCAACTTACAGAATTTAAAGGATCTGCTACTGATGGCTTGGTACCAGATACCACAGCATACCTTTGAAGGGCTAGTGGAGTCCAAGCCTCGACAGGTTAGGGCTGTTTTGGCGGCAAAAGGGAGAGCTACTCAATATTAGGAGGGTGGTCATAATGCAAAATATTATGGCTGATTCCGAATATCATTATATTTTACTATTAATGGTCAAAATAGAAGGTAACGAGAAGCAGCCTGGAATAACTGAAAAATAGATTTCTGGCTCCACAGCTTACAAATCTCCCATGGAATTGTTGATTTAGACTCTAGGGTCACAGTAAATGTCAGAATTTCAGAATAATAACATATAATTCTGTACCTTGTTATGAAAATTGTGGAAGTCTGCCTAATGCTTCTGGTAAAAAAAAAGAACCCTCCCAAACCTTCCCCTGCAAGTTAATAGGAATCAAAGCAATCAATTCTTGCAATGTGATAAAAATAAACTCGGCCGTAAAGCATGGAAAAAATATCAAGTCCCTTTTTTCACTTTGTAAATTAAAGCCCTTCTGAATTTGCTGGAAGATTGTGATGGTGGTTCCAAGGAGAACAAATCAATTATAACATGTCTCATGTAGCATTGAACGATTTGTGATGTTGATTACCTTACTGGTGGCTCAGATTGTCATGTAGATACGTCACCCGCTGCGATCCACATATGTTTGCTCAGCTACAGATGATGCATTCTATTTTGCACTGTTAACAAACAGGTAAAAGACTGCGTGCATCTGTTGCTAACATATATATCACACTGCTCCCTCTAAATTGTCTTCCTATGGGAAAAGGTAAGACGTACTCTGAGATATTAACGGGAACTGATGTGATAAGAGGCAGATAACTCCCTGCCATAATGTGCTGCTGACAATGAGAGTGACAAAAACCATAAGCGCGTAGCCAGAAATCTCGTCCTATTTATAAGGCTTATTTTCTTTTCTTACAGGGTCAGATAAGCTAAGGACATGCTGTATTGTGTTGGGGAGTATGCTTCATTTGATATTTGCACTTGTACACAGCTTGGAAGCTGGGGTCAACATCATCATTCTGCTGCCCGAGGCACTGACTGAAATGCCATGTGAACTTTGCATGCTGTACACAATCCACCATAAATATTTCTAGTCGTCACTAGAAGACAAAGCAAACAGTTGTCGTAGTAGGCTCTTCTGTATCTACCGACATTTACATTAAAGCTGAATTCCAAGCAGTTAAATACCCAGTGGGAATATGTACATGCAAAGGGTGAATTTGTAATCTAGTGCAGCCAGTTTTTCAATCCACACACTGCTTATCAGATAGCAAAGACTGGATGGTAACCTTGCGTTCCATTATGACAGCTAAGCAATATGGCATAATTAAGCACTAGTGATGAGTGGATGTGAATGGTTTTGATTCACAGGCTGTTCGTCAAGCTTGACAGAAAATCTGCAAATTGGGAACTTTAATATGAACCCCAATGAAGTATATGAGAGGTGAATCTAATAGGGAAGAAAGTATTAAACAAAGGGCATGAGCTGGGCACTGCCATGGGGAACATGTACCAATGTAAAAAAAAAAAAGAGCTTAAAAAATGATGATTAGTGGGGAGCAGCTCTTTTAATAAAGCATAAGGCCCTGTTCACACCTAGATCGAAGCTACAGAACGCTCAACACTCAACTATCCTATTGTTTTCTATGCCCAATGTTCACATCTAAGTAATCTGTTGCTTGTAGCAAAACGCCTGTAGCTTGAAAAAGTACATGAACTTCTTTTCAGACAGACTCATACGTTTTTGTCTCCATAGAGTTCAAATGTAAACACCACTGTTGCCTCTAAAAGTAGAAAATTTCAACTCTCATAGAACTTAAAAAAATCACAACTGTTTAGAGGCCTCTACAGTTGTTAACTGGAGAGCAGTCAGATTGTGCTATGGACCTACTTGACTCTGTTGCCAAGATTTTTTTTTAAATAAAGGGCTCTTACAAAAAAGATTGTTCCTATTTACATCTACGGCAGGTGCTGCCTCAGATCATAAGTTTCCTGCAGAAAATCTTTACATCTAACTCTTCCAGAAGTGTCAGATGACTATACCCTCTGCTGTATGCTGTGGTTCCATCTGCAGACACCTACAGAACACAGTAGTGATTTAGCAGCCACAGGGAGAAACCAAGGCACCAAGGGAGATTCAAGCATCCAACACCCCTGTGTGTTTGGGCTGCTAAAGAGTTGGCGGTGACTATAGGTCAGGGTTGGTTAAAGTGACAATCTGAGACAGTGTCCACTGTAGAAAAAAGTTTGAAGCCACTCTGTTACCTGGAATTTGTTTTTTACAAAAAAGGATCCCTACAGGAAGACTGTTAAAAGTCATTGTCGTAAAGTTGTTTTTTCACATCTAAATATACTTTTCATTGCATGATAGTTATCCCATTGATGAGATGATTAAAGGGGTTCTAAAGCTAGCAAGCAGTAGATATAGGCAAAAAGTTTTTTTTTTCTTTAAACCCGCTGCGCGCTCCAGCGCCGAGAATCAGGAACTGCTCGTGCGGCTGCAAA